GTGCTGGCAAGTCTCGGGCATTAGGCTTTTTCCACCTTGCCGGCTGGACCCGCAGGGATTAGAGAGCTTGTCGCCTGGCGCTGCCCGTGCCCGCCGGAGCTCCTCACGCTGCCGCTACTACCGCCGCCATCTTCCTTTAATTGCTCGATGGACTTGATGGAGTTTGTTTCTTTTATTTAAAAGATTATTATGCCCAATCCTGGGCAACTCACCACAAATCCCACCACAAATTCCCAGTTTTTAAACTTCTCAGAAATTCAAGGCTCAGCCACACCACAACCTCTGGGTAGTTTCCAGATTCACTGCAGTTTGATATCCCAGGTTAATCGGACGCAGGATTTCGGTTACCTCAAACTCTGCCTCTGACTCTTCCCGCCTTAAGTGGTCAGTCCCAGCAGCCTTTCGCTGAATTCCCAGAGCTTCTTGGCCAGCTGGTCATCGCAGGCCAGGGGACTGGGCACCTTCGGCTGGCAGTCCACGAAATACCGGCCACTCAGCCTCTCGATGCCTTCCTCGGTGGCGCAGTAAATGGAGGTCTGGGCGCCCATGTTGCTATCTCGGCTGAACAGCCTCATGAACTGAAAGGACCAAATTATCCACCTTGGCAGGGAGCGATTAATTTCAGTTCTAACAAGTCCTGAAAGCAAAAAAAAAGGAGAGTTGGTTGTGTGAATGGCCCAGGACAGAAAGAAGCACCTCCCAGAATGACCCAGATGGAGGAGGAGGAGGAGGAGGAGGAGAAAATCGCAAACGAACCCTTCACACAACACTCATTGCCCATCTGGCAGCCTTGGGGCAACTTCTAAATATTTTTCAGAAGACCCCCATGCTGAAGTGAGTGCGCGATGGTGCAAAGGGAATGTGTGTGTTTGTGTGTGCATCTGCTTGTTGCACACCTGAATCTACTTGTTAGGTGGCTAATAAATTCAAATAGATAATACTACATAACGATCGTCTGTTCGTTCCCCGAGTTGTTTAAAATAGTGCGTATATGTGTGTGTTGGTGTGTGTGTGCTGTTGCACACTTGACAACGCACAACTGGGTGGCTAATACATCCCAGTGAGTAATAATATAGCTAGTCCTAAGTCCTCAACCCAAAATTTATATCGCTGAGCAAGACAGCCGTTAAGTGAGTTTTGCCCCATTTTACGACCTTTCTTAACACTATTGTTAAGCGAATCACTGCAGTTGTTACGTTACTAACCCAGTTACGTGAACCTGGTTTCCCCCTTGACTTTATTCATCAGAGGGTCGCAAAAAGGGACCACATGATCCTGGGACACTGCAGCCGCCATAAACTCCCAGAATCCCCCAGCCGAGCAGCAGGAACCCCACAGTCTCCTCTTCCTCCTCCTCCTCCCTTCTAGCACTGATGACGTTCCCTAGTTGGGTCATGAAAGGTCTGCAAGGAAACCACCCAGCTCAGAGAGCAACAAGGACCCCACAGTCCTCCTCCTCCTCCTCCTCCTCCTCCTCCTCTCTCCCTCCTCTCTCTTCTTCCCAAATCCCACACCCTACAACACTGATGACGTTACCTAGTTGGGTCATGAAAGGTCTGCCAAGGAAATCACCAAGAAAACCCCCCAAAATCAGAGAGTATCCAGGACCACACAGTCCTCCTCCTCCCTCCCTCCCTCCCAGCACTGATGATGTTACCTAGTTGGGTCATGAAACGTCTGCAAGGAAACCCCCCAAGCTCAGAGAGCACCACGGACCCCACCCCACTCAAGGTCTTGCACAGATACCCTCACTTGCTCCGAAATACAAACAGCTTCTCTTCCAGCAAAAAAAAATAAAAAATGCTATTTTTTTTTGAACTTCTCTTTCCCTCCCTTATCCTCACCCCAGCCCAGAAATGGGGAGGAATAGCCCTTTTCACAAGACCGGGGGGGGGGGGGGAAGACCAGGGGGGAGAAAAGACCATGAAAAGACCATGGCAGCGGCGGCGGCAGCGGTAATGGCAACGGCGACACTGCTGCGGGAGGCAGCCCCGGGACATCCCCCACCGCCACCCCCACTGCCGCTCGCTTTCTCCTCCTGCGGGACGAAAGGAAGAAAGTAAGCGAGGGCAGGGCGGACGTCCCGGCGCTGCACAGGCGGTGCTTTCTTCCTTCTCCCGGGGGACGAAAGGAAGGAAGTGAGCGGCGGCGGCAGCAGCGGCGCTGTTTGCAGGAGGTAGCCCCGGACATCTGCCCGCCCTCCCGAAGCATCCCGGGGGATGGAAGGAAGGAAGGGAACGGTGGTGGTGGCAGCCCCGGGACATCCGTCTCCCCCCACCCCCCAGAAAGCTGCACCGCAACTGCCACATGGTAGGGAGAGCTGGGAGGGCGACGTGTGGCAGCTTAGCCAGCCAGCCGAGCCCGGGGACGGTGGGAGGGGGAGGCAGCTAGCTAGGCCACAGCCAGCACCACTGCCTGGGATGGGGCCACGCTGGTCAAGGAAACCAGCCGGTTGAGTCTGGGAACGGTGGGGAGCGGCAAGTTCCGGGAACGGTGCCCCCCCCCCCCCCGGGAAGGTTTGGGGAAGGGTAGGGGGGGCTTAACATGGCTTGCAGGCTTACCTGTGTGCAGGCAAATCAGAGCTGCTCAGCTGGGGCGTAAGCACCACGTGGGAAAGGCAGGTTAGAAAGCCACAAGGACCCAGTGTGCCACATCGGAGATGAGTGACTGGGCAGGTCGAGTGTCAGGAGGGTGGGGTGAGCGAGCGAGCGGCGACCGGGTCAGGGCGGTCATCACTACCGGTTTGACGACCCACACCAAATCGTCGCTAGCAGTTCGCTTGAACCGGTGCGAACCGGCTGAATACTACCACGGCTTTTTTACATTATTATATTATATTTATTATATTATATTATATTATATTATTATATTATATTATTACATTACATTACATTACATTACATTACATTACATTATATTATATTATATTACATTATATTATATTATATTATATATTATCATATTATATCATATTATATTGTATTATTATATTGTATTATATTGTATTGTATTGTATTAATTATATTAATTATATTATATTAATTATATTATATTAATTATATTATATTAATTATATTACATTACATTACATTACATTACATTATATTATATTATATTATTATATTATATTTTACATGCAATATTCCAGGTGTGGCGTTACCAGGGCCTTATAAAGTGGTATTAACACTTCATCTGATCTTGATTCTATCCCTTTGTTGATGCAGCCTAGGATTGCATTGGGTTTTTTGGCCGCTGCAGCACAGGGCTGGCTCCTATTTAAGCGATTGTCCAGTAGGATTTCTGTTCGTATGCAGATTCATCACTGTCTGGAATGAGACAGTGGAATGACCTCTCTATCATTGGCAAACTTCAGTATTTTAACAGAGGGATCCTTTGAGATGCAGTCCTTGGTATATAGACAGAAGAGCAATGGGGAGAATATTCAGCCCTGGGCTAATCGTTCAGGTATCTGATGTGATTCCCCCCCTCACCGAACGCCATCACTCTGCTAAACAAATAATTCCCTCCACACTGTCCAACTATTTACTAAATCTGCATTACTACTACTATTAATCCTCCCATCTTCCTTTTACCCATTCCCTCCCATTTGTGACTGTATGACTGTAACTTTGTCGCTTGTATCCTTATGATTTATATTGACTGTTTCCTGGTATGATTTGATGGCTTATTTGTACCCTATGACTATCCTTAAGTGTCGTACCTGATGATTCTTGACTCTTGACGAAGGTCTCTTTTCTTTTATGTACACTGAGAGCATTTGCACCAAGACAAATTCCTTGTGGGTCCAATCACACTTGGCCAATAAAAGTATTCTATTCTATTCTATTCTATTCTATTCTATTCTATTCTAATTCTATTCTATTCTAATTTCTATTCTATTCTGTTCTTTTTCTATCCTATCCTATCCTATGACTATTATTAAGTGTTGCACCTGATGATTCTTGACTCTTGACGAATGTCTCTTTTCTTTTATGTACACTGACAGCATTTACACCAAGACAAATTCCTTGTGTGTCCAATCACACTTGGCCAATAAAGAATTCATTCATTCATTCATTCATTCATTCATTCATTCATTCATTCATTCAATCTATCCGTCCATCCATCCATCCATCCATCCATTTATCTATCTTGCCTTTTGTGTGATTTTGAGCAGGGATGGGATTCAAAAACACCAGCAACCGGTTTGCTGCCCGGCTGCCCGGTGGGTCTACCAGAACTTCCTGTTTCTGGCTTCCGGTGGGCCTCTGGGGGGGTGAAAACAGCCTCCCCCAGGCTCTGGAGGCCCCCCGGAAGCCAGAAATAGGCGCATTTCCAGACTTCCGGAAGTCCCGTTTCTCCCCCTCCCAGAGACTCCGCACTTACTTCCATCGAAAATGGGCCATGTGGAGACTCCTGGGAGGGGAGGGGAGGGGAGGGGTGGGCTTGGCAAGCCGGTCGGTTGAAATATCGGTTCAGCAAACCAGATGCAAATTTAACATCCAGTTTGCCCCGAACCGGTCCAAACCGTTAGAATCCCCCTCGCCCCGTTTGATTTTGAGTGTGCTTTTTCCATGTGATTTTTCCTGCCTTCAGGTCAAAAGAAATTAACGGGCCAAATGTCAAGTGGAAATATTTAGCTGCTCCGTCCCAGCAGCCTCTCGCTGAATTCCCAGAGCTTCGTGGCCATCTGGTCACCGCAGGCCAGGGGACTGGGCACCTTCGGCTGGCAGTCCACGAAATACCGGCCACTCAGCCTCTCGATGCCTTCCTCGGTGGCGCAGTAGATGGAGGTCTGGGCGCCAGCTTTGCCATTTCGGATGAACAGCTTCGTGATCCAAACCAACCAAAGTGTCCACCAGGAAGAGGAGCGAGTCATTTTGGGGTTAACAACTCTTGAAATCGAAGGCAGAGGGAAAACGCCGGGGATGGAGCGGAGTTTTGGGGAGAGATCAGAAATGCACCATTCGCACAATACGTGTTTCCCACCGTGAACCATGGCAAGTCTTTGGGCAACGTGTTTCTTGCAGGCGTTTCATTACTCAATTAGGTAGCAACATCAGTGCTAGAAGGGTTTGCAGAGAAGAGGAGGAAGCAGAAAAGTAGAGGAGCAGGGTGGGGGGGGAAGGAGCGAGGGAAGGAGGAATAGGAGGGGAGGCAGAGTGGGGGAGAAGGAGAAAGGGACGGAGGAGGAGGGGAAGAGGAGGAAATGGGTAGCAAAAGGAAGAGAAGGGAGGGAAGAGGAGAGGAAGGCCAAAGAAGGAGGGCAGGAGGAAGAAGAGCAGGAGGGAGGGAGGTGGAGGAGTAAGAGTAAGGAGGTGAAGGGGAGGGAGGGGAGGCACAGGAGGAGGAGGAGGAGGGAAGGAAGGAAGGAGCAGAAACGGCAGAAGACGAGTAAGAGACTGGGGAAAGTCTCATTCCTGTCTTAGGCAGGGAGTTGGACTAGAACAGGGGTCACCAACCTTTTGGACCTCAGGGACCCCCAAAGTCATACTTTTAAATCCCGCGGACCGGAGACCCTGGGAAAATCCCCCCAAAAAGTCTGCAGGAAAATCCCCCACCCCGTTTTCCTACCGATCCTTCCTTCTTTATTTGAGATCGCAGGATCCCGTCTCCAGCTCCGTTCTCAGGGGGAGAGAGAGAGAAAGAGAGACTTTTGGCTTCATGCAAGGAAAGCAGCAGAAGCCGCAGAAGTCTTTCTTTCTCTCCCCCAAACTCCGCCAGAAATGAGTCTTTGCCGCTGCAGCCTCTTGGGGCAGGAGGCCTTGCAGGGTCCCAAAGACTCATTTCTAACAGAGTTTGGGGGAGAGAAAGAAAGACTTTGGCTGCTTTCCTTGCGTGCAGCCAAAAGCAGAAGAAGAAAGAAGTGGAAATGAGCAGCCTGGTGGGCAGGCTAGGCGCATGGGGCGAGTGGGGCAAGTTCCCCCCCGCCCTTTCCCCCTCCTCTCTCTACCTTGTGTTGTCCGCAGTGCAAGTGACACAAGCCTTGTGTTCCCATGGGCCATGTGGGCGGCACAGCCTTGTGTTCCTGCACCACCTGGATTAATTGCTGGGGGGGATATTTCTCTGAGGATCCCCAAAAATTTCTCACGAACCACCAGTGGTCCCTGGCCCACTGGTTGGTGACCACTGGACTAGATGATCTCCAAGGGCCTTTCTGGACCTGGGAGGGTGGGAGATGTCTCCCTCCCCAGCTGAGCTCCATAGAGGGGGTCGAGGGAGCCCCCAGTGGGAGAGAAATGCCTGGCGGAGCCCCAGACAGACCGGGGGAGGCTCCATCTGGGGGGCCTTGGAGCCGGACTTCCACTCACCTGGATGAACCGCGTAGCAGGTGACGTTGGTTCCTTCCAACCGCTTGGCCAACTCTCTGGCGTGGAGAATGTTGGCTAGTTTGCTGTTGCTGTATGAAGATAAAACATTCTGCATCCCCTTCCCCGGTTTGTGGATGGTCCGAAAGTCCATCTTCCCAGAGATGTGGGCTATCGAGGTCAGAATTACGATCCGGCTCGGGGTGCAGCGCTTCAGCCGGTCCAGGAGCAGGTGGGTCAGCAGGAAGTGGCCCAAGTGGTTGACCTGGAAGGCCAGGTCAAAGCCATCAGCGGTTTGGCCAACCTTAAGGACTCCTGCCAGAAAAGTAAGCTGATTACAGATAGTCCTTGGCTTACGACGGGTCATTGCGATCGTTCAAGGTTACAACAGACACCCAAAAGGTATCTACCACTCAGTTTCCCCCTGTGGTCCCATGACCACATTTTAGGCACTAGGCAACGTGCCCCGCAGTCACATGCTTTACGACAGTTTTGTCAAAAAACAAAGTTTCTTCAGCAATAACACTCTGTTGTGATCACACGGTTCGCTTAACGACCGCCGCAACAAAGATCTTGAAGTCATAGGGGGTCACAGGGATGACCTGCATTATAACCGTCATGCCATACAACCATAATGGGCAGGCCCCATCACAGTCATAAGTCAAGGACTATCTGTAAAGCATTGAGGTTGATCTAGTGCTTAAGCCTAGAAAACGGAAGGCCATGAGTTCAAATTTCACCTTAGACAGGAAAGCTGACTTTGAGCCAATCTCCCTCTCTCCCTCTCAGACCAACCCATCTCACAGGGTTAGAGAAATCCCAGACAATTCCCCCCCCCTCAATATTCCCCCCCCTTCCTTCCCACTCCGGAGACCCTGGGGAGGGTCTGCTCTGCCCCCACCTGCGTTGTTGATGAGGATGTCCAGGCGGGGCTCCGAGGCTAAGAAGGTCTGCGCAAAAGCTCGCACGGAGTTCAGGCTGGCCAGATCCAGGATCATCAGGATCACCTCCGAGTTCCCACTTTCCTGGAAAAGCAGCGGGAGGAATCGTGAGCTTCGGGATCCGGTGTGGCTTCAGAGGCTAATCTCACCTTCTATGTAGGTCTGCTCACCTCCTACCATGATTCCCCCCAAATAAAACCCTGTCTTATATTTTTTGCCACCAAAAAAAAGGCACCAGGTCTTATTTTCAGGGGGTGGCTGTCGTCCACTGACTCACCTCACTTGCGTGTGTTACCCCCACCCTCCTTTTCCCTCCTTTTCCCCCCTTTTCAGGAACCTCTCTGTCCAGCAAGGCCTCCCTGAAGGCCTCTGCAGACAATAACAGAGGTCTGGATTGATCCCTGCCGGCTGCAGAAGAAATGGGCTGAGGTGTACAAGGCCTGGCTGCAACTGTCTGAAGGTAAGGAGTAGGACAGCTCCACCTGTGCACCCTGGAGTGGGCGGGGTCTTAATTAGGCCTTATTTTTTTTGGGGGGGGAAATAGGACTTATATTGGGCACATGTGTAAAAATCAAGCTAGGTCTTACTTTTGGAGTAGTTTAGTTTACTTTATTGTCATTGCACCTCGTACAACGCAATCAAACACCATCTTCAGTGCACATCATGACCATGAAAATAAACACAAACACACACTCTTCACCCTTCACACATTGAACCGAAAACCCCTGACACCGCACCAACACTGCACCATACAGCAGAATTCAACAGAGGTCCTGGCCTGGGATGGAAGCTGTTTTTCAGCCTGTTTGTGCTTGTTTTTATTATTGTCCTGTACCGTCTGCCAGATGGTAATAGTTCAAAAAAAGGGGGTGCGCAGGATGAGATGGATCTTTGAGGATGTTTTGAACTTCTTTAAGGCAGCGGGAGCTATGAAGCTCTTCCAAAGAGTGGAGAGGGCAACCCATGATCCTCTGAGGGGCAATGACCTTAACCTTCTGGAGTGCTTTCCTATCTGCCCCTGTGCAACTGGCAAACCCTACACAGGTGTGCAGGAAGTTAAGATACTCTCTATTATAATATAGGTCTTATTTTTGGGGAAACATGGTAGCAATCTCTCTGGGTGGTGCATAATAAAACAAGACACGCAGGTCCTCGACTTACAACCATTCAAAATTACAAAGCCCCCGAAAAGAAGTGATTGATGGCTGGTCCTCACCCTTTTGACCATTGCAGGATCCCCAAGGTCATGCGATCAGAATTTGGGCGCTTGGCAACCAGTGTTATTTCCAATGGTCGCGTGGCAGCTCTGGTTCATGTCATCACCATTGTCCCAAGAGCAAAGCAGAGTCAATTGGGGGAAAAGGAATTCATTTAACCACCGCATGATTTGCTTAACAACTCCAGTGATTTGCTTCATTGAGGGGCTGCCCCAAAGAAGAGGGGGTCAACCTATTCTCCAAAGCACCAGATAACAGATAATCAGAGTTGGAAGGGACCTTGTAGGTCATCTAGTCCCACCTCCCGCCCAAGCGGGAGACCCTACACCATTTCTGGCAGATGGCCGTCCAGTCTCTTCTTGGAAGTCTCAAGGGATGGCGCTCCCACAACTTCCAAAGGCAACTTCTGTTCCATGGGTTGATTGTTCTCCCTGTCAGAAAATTTCTCCTTATTTCTAGGTTGCTTCTCTCCTTGCTTAATTTCCATCCATTGTTCCTTGTCTGGCCTTCAGGTGCCTTGGAAAATAGCTTGACCCCTTCCTTCTCTCTGGGGCAGCCCCTCCAATATTGGAAGGCTGCTCTCCTGTCTCCCCTGGTCCTTCTCTTCCCTAGACTAGCCAGGCCCAGTTCCTGCAACCGTTCATTGTGTGTTTTAGCCTCCAGTCCCCACTATAGATGGATAGATAGATGGGGCAGGCACACAGAGATAGATAGATGATAGATAGATAGATAGATAGATAGATAGATAGATAGATAGATGATAGATAGATAGATAGATAGATAGATAGATAGATAGATAGATAGATGATAGATAGATGATAGATAGATGATAGATAGACAGAGAAACAGACTAGACTAGCCAGGCCCAGTTCCTGCAACCATTCACTGTATGTTTTAGCCTCCAGTCCCCCAATCATCCTGGTTGCTCTTCTCTGCACTTTTTTGAGTCTCAACCTCTTTTTTATAGTGTGGTGACCAAAACTGAATGCAGGACTCTAGCTGTGGCCTTACTCAGGCTTCATAGAGCGGTATTAGTGCCTCCCTTGACCTCGATTGTATCCCTCTGTTGATGCAACTTAAGATTGTGTTTGCTTTTTTGGCGGCTGCTGCACACGGCTGGCTCCTATATAGCTGGTTGTCCACTAAGACTCCAAGATCTCCCTCTCACAGACCCTTCCCGAGCTCTGTTTTTGCTGGTAGAGGCACTGAGAGCCAGTCCTTTGCTGTTTCCAGGGTGGTGGCCCTGTGGGCCAGATCTAAACACTCTGTGGCAGTGGTGGTATTCTATGGTTTGGCCTGGTTCAGGCAAACCAACAGCAAAAAATGTTACCGTTTGGCTGAACCGGTAGTAAAAGAAACAGCTACCGGTTCGGCTGATCCAGTATTTCTTTCTTTCTTTTTTCCTCCCAACAATCAGCTGTGCCGGGATCCCCCTCGCTGTCTTGCTGCTTCACCCAGAAGGAAGGAAATAAGGAAGGAGAGGAGGAGGAAGGAAGAAAAGAAGGAAGGA